TGACGATGACAACGACGACAACAACAACAACAACAACAACAACAATAATATAAAATTGTTATACGAATATAAATGCGGTGTTACATATAAAAGTGAAAATATTACTACATATACTTTAATACTTTTTACAGACAAATTCATCATGTAGAAACGAACGGATATCGGTGATTCCACATTAGAAATTAGATATGATACCGCAAAATCTCGAGTTGAAAGAAAAGAAGAAAGAACAAACGAAGAAACGAACGAACGAACGAACGGCGTAACCGTTCAACGAATTAATGCAGGCAAGGGGCCAAAGATCGATTTCTCTCGTTTCGCTCACTTTGCTTGCGGGACATTGTGCTTCCTCTGCAAGTCGACGCGCAATCTCTCGCCAACATGCCTGTACATGTCCGTTAATGTGTTCAATGCAGTTTCACGAACTTTTTCGGACGGATCCGAGAGTAATTTGACGATATTGGGAATAACACCGGATAGAGCCATCTCGTCTGCGCCATGCCTAGGAAAAACAAAAATAAAAAATGAAAAATACATATATACAACAAATAAAAGAACAATAAACTTATGTTAATCGAAATAATCGATAATGTTATTATCGCAACTTACTCGTTTAATGTCGTCGTTAACAAGACCAGTGCTTCCTCTCTTAATTTTGCATTTTTATGGGTGAAAGCGGGACGAAATTTGTCCAATAATTGTTGGGGTGTCAAACAACCTTTCTCCAGGATTTTAAGAAGGACCAAATGTGCCTTTTCTCTGGTCGCATCTTTGCTATCACCTGTTACATAAAAACAAAAAAAAAAAAAAAAAAAAAAAGGAAAAGAAAAAAGAATAAAAAATAAATATGATATAAATAAATAAATAAATGAAAAGAATTTGATTAAGAAGCGATATTAATATTAATAATAATAATAATAATAATAATATAAGGAAATGAAATATTGTTATTCGTGCTTTTAATAATATGTATACATATTATAAGATGTAGATTGTTGATTAGAATATATTGTAAATTACACACATAATGTATGAATTGTATGGGCATTCTTTACGGACACGTGTTTGGTATGAAGGACTTTCACGCGCGTGTTTTCTCTCGGTCTAGAATTTGAAGAACGAAAAATTTTCTCACAGTACATATCTCTTCCGTACTAATTATCATAATAAGCTCTCTTGAATTGCGCGACGTTACTTTATTCGATTTAGATTTAAAACGAGGGAGAGGTCGACGTTGAAGATAATGGATGTGTGTTTAATTCATTAAATAAACGGTGATTCAATAGACCCAAGTACCTTTAAAATAAATAAACCGGGGCTCTCTCTCTCTCTCTCTCTCTTTCTCTCTCTCTCTCTCTCTTCGTAGTTATCTCTGCGTTATGATATGTATATGTAAAGTACGTATGCACAATTAGGACTTAGATATCATAGAAAAAATAACGTCGTAATATAACGTAATAGAACGTAACAGATGAGAAAAACTTGTTTCACGCTTTATGCGATCATATCTTAGAAAGTTAGGCAGTAATAATTTTAAGATAACAGGATTAATGCAGAGAAAGAAATATGTAAAAGGAATAGAAAATTCTTATCTAATTACCTAGAAACTGGTATACCATATTTACTGATTATGCCAGTTAACCTCAACCAAGTTACGTTTAATTCACTTTAGACCTTGACTCACTAACATACATCTGCATGAGACTTAGTCGAGCCTTTTAAAATTTTATCAACTATCCATAAAACATTTCACCTTTGATTTTACGCGAAGAAAACATGCCGACTCGTATATTATATATTCGACTAAAATTGTTGGTTTTCTTCTTCTTTTTTTTTTATAAAGAGGGAAAAAAAACAGAACGAAAACAAATAAAACGAATAAAACGAATAAAACGAATAAAAATACACCGTAGGAAAAAAAGGAAAGAAAAAAGGTGAGTATCGAAGTAAAATTGAAATCTCCTTCAAATCGAATTCCTTAAACATCGTATAGTACAGGTAAGTTAAAAGAGACAAAGAAAAACCGATGGAGAGACCCCGAGTTTGTGCACAAATAAGGGTCGACATCTATCATAGTCTTAAACCTCGTTAAAGTCCTTTAAAACGTCGTTCGAGTTCGTTCTATCTGGAACTCATCTCGTCATTAACGATGATTCAGCATTGGTACGTCTTTGGTGGGGCTAATTAACAAATCCTTGACCGTACTCGCAGTATTCCACGGAAACAAACACCTTGGATGACGAAATTATGATAACGATTTCGTCGAAAAAAAAAAATATAATATATATATATATATATATATATATATATATGGTTGATTTTTAAGCTAAGATTCAGTAAACGTTTTAATTGAAAAATTGAATTATTATAATCAATGGCTTTTTTCGTACTCACCTAGCCTATCTATCATTGGCTGTATTACAGTAAGAATATAAGGCTTGAAATCATGACCCATCCGATCGGCGAGGTACGTAAGGATCTCCAATCCATTTTGAACGACCTGTAAAGAAAAAGAAGTAGGAGAACAGCAATTTTCGAGATAACATATATATATATATATATATATATATATGTTAGTACTTGACGATGAATTATGATGACTGGTAATAAGATTAAATCCAATCTGAACTTAACTCGATCAATTAAAATTGATTCTTTCGATTCATTTCAAAAGACATTTAATTATATCTGACATGACCCATAAAAATTAATCAGATATACAACCGACCCATTTACACATTATTTCTAAGTTAATTTTTCTTTTTATTTCTTTTTCTTCTTATTTTTATATAAAATTTATATAAAATTTTATAAATATTATTCTTTAAACTGAGAAAAAAGATGTTATTAAAGGACTCTTTTACATTTTTAATTTTTTATTTATTTTTCCCTCGCATTATCTACACCAGTTTCAATCAAATTTCAGGATTCGAACATTACTCATCGAGTCTTATTTTATACATTCATCTCTGATAACAACATTAACAATAGAAATCATAATAATAATAAGTAAATAAATAAATAAATAAATAAATAAATAAATAAATAATAAGTAATTTGTTTTTCTTTATTCGAAATTCACATTTTCAAGTTTCTCAATTGTTCTTTTAATAACAATAACCAATTCCGAAGCGGACAGTATCGTCTCCGGAAGGGTAGCAATATCATGGTGAAACATTAAAGAGAGGTTAGGGGTATGAGCAGAGAACGGAAGAAAGGTGAAAGTGGGGATGGGGGTGGTAGGCTATCGATGCAACGTAATTGAATTGGAGTCGGTAAATGTTAGATTTCAGTGGCGGCAGTGGTAGCGACTGCGACGGCGATAGAGGGCGAGACCGTATTGATCCGAACAAGGAGCAACCCTCGTATAAGTTTCCCTTAAAGTTGAAAAATCGCGGCAGGCAACCCTCTTGCACTTTCCCTCTTTCTCATAATTATGTTTCGTCTGGGAGCTTCATTCGCTCACCGAAAAGCCGGTACTCGTCGTGTTTTCTCATCTAGAAAGCGGTGCAACGCTCTCACTCCCCTTCCACACCCATCACCCATCTCCACCTCCACCTCCAATCCTGCTCCCACTTTCTTTCTAACACCCTTGACAGCCACCCCTTTACAATTCTCACTAGGGGTTTTGTTTATTCCGGAAATCGTATTATTAAAACGAAAGCGATATATGCGCACGTGTGTTATCGACATATTCATAGGCACGTTTACTCTATTCTGTCAATAAGACGGAAAACATTTATCAATATTCGCTCAGTTATTACATAGTGACTTAAAAGATAAAAAAGAAAAAAATAAATAAATAAAAAGTCGATTTTACAAAAATATTTTATATTCAATAATGTTATCCTTTAAGATTATCTAAAAAATTTCATTAAATAATTTCCAACAGCGACAAATTTACAGACATTTGAAGATATCGACATGTAAAATTATTTTATACTTTAAAACATTGTTTTCTTAAAATTATGTTTTTCAAATTGGTACCCATGATATTTTGAAGATTATCGTAACGATTTGAATGAAATTTGAATTATTTGTCATATTCGTTGTCTAATCTTTGTTACACGGAAATTTCTTTTTAAAAGCTATAATTTCTTTCTTCTTTTTTAATCATTAAATTTTTATCTAAAATTGAATTTTTTTTATCGAAAATCGCATGATAAATTAGATCACTCATATTTTTTTATAAAATGAAAATATGAAACATCGGTTTAATGAAGAATCGGTTTCTTTTAATGTATTTTAAAAACTTTTTGTTTTATTTTTTCAACTTTGATAACAGCCTGAGAAGATATTATTGGAATCGCAAATAGCTTACAAAACATCTATTATTTAGTTCGACAAAGATAACTCCAAAAAGATAACGGATCGTTTTAATTCCTTTTTTGTTAAGGAAAATATTCCTCGAACTACGTATTACTAAACATATTTAATGATTTTTTATTAATGAAATAAATTTTTACATGCAAAAAAGAAATCATAAAAATCGTCTCTTTTTTGGATCTAGGTTTACGTAATATCTTTAATAATAGTGTAAAAAAGATAATACGTGTTTGGACTCATAGGATTGAACGCATCAAACACATTTGATCAGGGATGATCGCAAATTAGGGAAATTGTTTAAATATACTCGAGATGTACATCTTCAAACAAATTAAAGATCGTTTCATCCATATCTTTCTAGTTTTTACACAAACTATTCCTAAATTGTCATTCTTTTTTTTTTTCCTAAAACTATCTAATGTTCTTGTCGAATTGTGAATCAAGAAAATACTACGTTTTTCATCTAATCGAAGCTATGAATGAAATAGCATATAAAATTCATCAGGATCAATTGACAGGAACTAGAAATTTATCAAGAATTACCGGATGCATTGATCAAAGAATGGTATCGCGACAATTACATAGATATGCTCCAATTTAGGATTAATCAAATCTAAATAGCATATAATAAATTTACAAGATGTAAATAGCTTATAAATAAATTTGTATTCCACGATTGTAAATATTCTTTTCACAAATAATGAATTATTAATTCCAGTATATGTCATTATTCACAACTACGAGATCTTGTTTTCAACATTAACATAAGTTGAAAAGGTTAAAGTGTTACTACTATTACTAGTACGCATACAAAGTCCAATTAAATAACTTGTGTAAGAAATTATTTTTACGAGAAAATTATGAAAAGTATATAAGTTCGAAAGCTTCCGAGAACAATTAAATAAAAGTCGAAGAGAGAGATTCGTCAATATTCCAAATTGATATAGAGAAAAATCCTTGGATCACGAAAAAATCCCTAACGAATTTGAAAAACAAGATTAAAATTGCATATTAGAAAGATCGCAGAACAAACATATAAATTTACTAACTTAATAACTTAATAATTTAAAGGTTCTAATATGGTACAACATTAAACAACGAGGTTACATCAATTCCATGGTTCGGTCAATACATAACGAACCAAGAGATATTTCCTCAATCCGACATTAAATCGTTCAAAGGAAATTATACGGAATGGCATAGTTTTAATGACACGTTCCGGGCAACGAAACGAAACGAACACCCGCATCAATTGTACATAGGAACTAGTCAGGCGATAGCGCGTGTTCATTTTGTACATTAAGTACAAGTTCATACAAAATTGCGAACAATTCTAAACTATGAGTTCTTTAGAAGGTACGAATAGTAGTACAGACAAAACGTGCGTGAGTATGTTGCAATTGTTAACGCGCCAATCAATTGATCGTACAGTGTAGACCACGTGATTGTACGAACGTGACTGACGAAAAGCATAATAACAATCTTCAAACAACGTTACTGCGACATAGATCAACAAGAATAAAGAGACTCGTGTATTGGGACAAGAATAGTAATCAATAGCACCGTTGCAATCAACAGTTTCGCTCGTGTCAGATCAGTAATCAAAAATTTCGCTGTCCACGAATAGGCTCGCATATAGATCATAGATGCAACCCAGATGCAAACAGACAACATCATCTATCCCACGTATTATTAAACTCAAAATCACAATTGAGTTCTATTATATACGGGCTATATGAAAACTATTCAATAAATTGGGAATAGTTGTGAATGTGTGTACCAAACATATTAGATTCATAATTAAAAAATCACGCGTATCCAAAAAAAAGAAACAGCAAATAAACGCAATAAGACAGATTAAACATATTGTTTTCATAGCCGATACTAACCATCTGGTACTATTGACAATAACCGGTAAGTTGCTATAAAGATAAATAATTTGATCGGCTATCAATGTACCAAGTCATCTCAAATTGGTCAATCGGGAACTACATAAACCGGCATCGACATAGATTTTTGCTAGGATAGTATGTTCTACAAAGTGATATAGATCGGACAAATCCGATTGAACAACAAGCATAGCGAATTACAAAAACCACGATTAAGTTGATTTACCTTGGGCAAAGTTCATTGCCGTTCAACAGAAGGAACGATCAAATAACTTTTGTCACGAAAGAAATTAGGCAGACAAATGGCCAAGTTCTGGGAATTGTGAGAATGTTCAGAACAGTAACAACTGTCGATGAAAGAGTTAGCTTGTGGAGAACACTTCCAAGGAAGAATATGTTGAGTGATACCAATGGACGTTAAGTCGTCAGATTATCATTCAACGGTCAACAGAACTTTCTCTTAGAGATTTAAACTTGTCCACGATTCAAAGATTTAACATTTTGGAATATAAGTTAGATAGACAAGGATATTAAATCTTATGCGTAGAAAAATAAGGAACTAGATCATATGAAGGCATTTTCTAGATAAAGTAAATGATGCTGTACTATGATGAAATGAAAATCACCAGCGACAATTCAAACCTTTAATAAATAAAAATTCCTCGTGACAACGAACAGCGGATCCTTTGACGTGACGAATTGAACGAGCCTGTAGGCACCTATTAATTATATACAATGATTTTCGGTACCATATCAGCACTCTTCATCACGATCACGGTTCTACAACAATTAACATCCAACGAGGATTGGAATATATCCATTACATTAGCCACATCATTAGCCGATAGCATTAACGAATTACATTTGTACAAATGATCCCTTAACTGACTATACAAAACATTTAATGAAGTGATGGCATTCAGAGAGATCAATTAATCGTCTCTACCTAGATTTTAGGCGTTTTCGATTTGAAACAATAGGCCTATACAACAAAAGCACGCGGCTCGTGACTAAACTAAAAAAACGAGACAACAATGGACCTTGTTGAGTGCACCTTGATGAGCCGAATACAAAAAGAGAAGAAAAGAATAGAAATGCGGAACCTGCGCTGAATTCCAAGAATAATATCGTCGCCTGCACGATCAAATAGAAATTAAAATAGTTACAAAGAGACAGATATTCGCAAGTATTTAATTTGTTAAGATTTTTATACCCAGTTATTATCACAACAAAACTGATAATGTACGAACTATGAAAGAACATGTTTTAACAAGCTTCTAATATC